TACTTTCAACAGGTTGATTGCTTTGTTGCTAGCTTGGTTGGTTCCTGTTCTTCTTTTCTGTTGTGGGTCGTGGCGATTGCGGTTGTGGTTGTTGTCGTTGCAGTTGGTTCTCGTTGCTGTTGTTGTGGGTCGATCCGAACTCGAACACGAACTGGTCCACCCCCCTCTCGCTCGATCCACGCAATCTCGCGCATCGAACTCGAACCCGAACTCGAACTCGAACGGGATCAGTTAGAACCACCTGGGGCACGGCCTGGAGGCCATCGCCATTAGGGAGGCCACCGATCTCTGCAGTTTTAGTGGGCAGCTTGGCAAGCTTGGTAGGCCGCATTGGTCCGTTTTTGGGGCAAGGGACATGTACTCAGCGAGTCCAGCTACCAGAATAGGAGCAACATGGAGCTACAGGTCACATGTGATTCCCTGCAAAGACTGTTTGAACCACTGAAATCATGCCACGTCTTTCTTTCACTTCCTCAAGTCGGGCTCAAGCACCCCAAAAACGACTGCAAACCCCTATCCGCCTTCGGCATCCTTCGGCACCATGCCTCACGTCTTCAACTACGCGGCTCGGTGGGAAGCGAAGATTCGAGGGGGCTGGCACTTGTGGGGAGGGTTTTGGGGCAAAGTTGATGGGGCCAGGCGCAAGAGACTTTTCTTTTCCTTTTCATCACTTCTGCAGGTCTTGCGGTTTGTGTTTAGGCAGAGTTTGTTTGAACCTGCAATCTGTGATGAGAAACAGTGAAGTGAGGGACGAGTGGCCGGTAGCAGACGTAACACTTTCCCAAAATGATGGACAGGTGTAACACCTTGCACAGTTTTCAGGACACTTCTGGAAGCATAATTATAATGCAAGTAATTATGGTTGCCGAAGGCTCGCCCGATTGGGCCGGGAATTGGCGCCACACTCCAAAAGAGTTCGTCGGTTTCTGGACAAACACTTTGGAGTCATAGTTGCTATTAGGTTGGAGGACTAGGAGCAAGAACGCTACTAGGGGCTCCTGGCATCGCTACTAGGAGCAAGGACGCTACTAGTAGCAAAGGGCATCGCTTCTAGGAGCAAGAACGCTACTAGGGGCTCTGGTGCTGAGCTCTCCAAAGTCTTGGACTCGTTTCGAGGGTCCGTTGAAGCGTTTGGACCGCCAATCTCAGGAGGAGAACAAGTTCGAGCAGGTGCACTACAACAAGGTGCTCAGATTGGGGGAGTTTTATGCACTTGTCCTTTCTGCACCTTCTTTCTGACATGAGACGCGAACGTGTCGGACATGCCACTTCCATTTGATAATGGTTGCATCCCAGAAAAGAGCAATAACAGAGTATCACCCAGTTGTAGGATAGCAGTATCGCACCTATCAGAGTTGTCTCTTGTGTATGTCAATCTCTAAGTGAAGACTGTTCCATCAGGTTGGAGGCCATCGCTGTTAGGGTAGAGGCCATTGCTTCTAGGTGCTTCTTTGTTGTTACTATGTTTCAAAGATATATCAATCTCTAAGTGAAAGCCGGTGGAGACTTCGTGGGTCGCAGGTGCCTCAGCGACCCACCACCCAGGTGAACAAGCGCTGCTCGGTGGGTTGTTGGCCGTGGGTGGAGGAGGCAATCTGTACCGAAGACTCTTTTGTTCGATCAAATCTCGTGGAACGTCTCCTCCGCGAGTCAATTGCAGTCACCACCACCTGCCATTCAGCATGTTCAGGGATTTTCTCTAGTAGGGTAGAGGCCATCGCTAGTAGGATGGAGGCCATCGCTACTAGGTTGGAGGCCTTGTTGGGTCGCATCCAATTCGCTTTGTGGCAACGATCCAAACCAATCGGCTTGGCCCCGCTTAGTGCACGCTTGGCTGAGGTCAACGCACACAGGAAGCCATGAAGTGTCTTGGCATCTTCACCGAAGCCCTTCGAAGCGAGGGCCCTTAAAAGGCGTTCGATCCATTTCTTTGTTACTAATGGCTTCTCGTTACTACTAGTAAGGCACTTGTTACTAGAAGCGATGCACTTGTCACTAGAAGCGATGCACAGGCTTCCGAGTCTTTTTTTCTTTTAAACGCAGACCAAGGCTTTTGGGAATCCACTGGACATCCACTGGTCTTGGACAATGGAAGCTCAAGCTTTGGACCCTGGTCTTGGTTCCCAAGAGGTGTGGCTCAATGAGAAGTGTGGTAAGAAGTATACGAAGGATTAATGCTCCACAGATTTGTTTTTGCAAGATTTTTAAGCATCTTTTTCCTAGGAACAAGAAGCTAGGAGCAAAGGGCATCGCTACTAGGAGCAAAGGGCATCGCTACTAGGAACAAGGACGCCACTAGGGGCTCCTGGCCATACTACTAGGAGCACTGTTCGCTACTAGTAACAAAGGGCATCGCTACTAAGAGGATGAAGCCCTGGAAGCACTTGAGACAGGTTCTGCAGCTCCGCAGAGGTTCTGTAGTTCTGCGACACCGAGGAAGGACGTCACCCGAAACCCCTTTCTGGTGGCCGATGGGAGGTCTCCATCTCATCCCACTTAGTAGCGATGGCCTCCAACCTAGTAGCATTTCATCCCTGGGTCCCCATGTGGTTAAACTTCGAAATGGATCTCAAAAAACTTTTGTAAAAAAAACCTACGAAATCACGAACTTCTCCTAGTAACTTCCTGTTACTACCTGTTTCCTGTCCGTCGGCCGAAAGGCGAACATCCGGGGGAGATGCAGCCCGCTTCAGAACCCTCAGGTTCTTGCTGAAGCAGGAGGACATTGAGAACAAGAAGCACGAGGTGGGTTCACGCGGCCATGCGGCAGCCGCAGCACGAGACTGGACCCATTTTCGGTGAGCAGGGCTGGTTTGGGTTTTGCTTACGCTGTAGTTTACATCTTTTTGAGGATTTGCCTACTTAGTAGCTTCTTGTTCCTAGTAGTACGGCCAGGAGCCCCTAGTAGCGTCCTTGCTCCTAGTAGCGATGCCAGGAGCCCCTAGTGGCGATGTCCTTGTTCCTAGTAGCGAGGCCAGGAACCCCTAGTAGCGAACATTGTTGCCGAATCCGAAGGGGAAATGATTTGTCATCGAAGCCAATATGACAACGATTGGGGTTTTCCTCCACACAGAGATGCTCTTCTCCGAATGCTAGATATACTTTTTTTTTCAGACCATGTCTTTTCTATTTTGTTGAAACCTTTTCTCTTGTTTTAGACACTTTTGTGTTTTTCGTTTCTTTCAATTCTTTTTCAGCTCTGGACCATTTTGCATTGTTGTCCTTTTTTTTTAAACACACGGTTTGTTTTTCTGTTCTTTCAATGTTTTGTCTCTAGACACCCTTTTTTCGATTGTTTTTAATCTAGACCTCTTGTGTTTCGTTTTCTTTATTTTCGGTCGAGTCACGGTTCACCGCCCAAACAGCCCATGCACCGTGATCCGCCTTCACCGAAGGCTCACCTGCGCCGCAAGGAGGAGCGACGGATGACGAAACCATGGAACATGCAGATGGGAGCCTTTTTGAGACCCTTTCGGACACGTTCCGGTGGTGACCAGAAAGTGGGGGATTTGGTCACTAGAGTGGATGGTTGGTGGAATGGGTGTCTACAGATCAGGTGCTCTAAAGGTGCAGAGGCTGAGTTTCTGAAAGCTCCATTGAAGGTTTACGTTGGTGACATGAAGGTCTTCTGGAGTCAAAGCAAGGAGTCAACAACTGAGAATAGCTGATTGAGCCACTAGTAGCGAACATTGCTCCTAGTAGTAAGGCCAGGAGCCCCTAGTAGCGTCCTTTGCTCCTAGTAGCGATGCCCTTTGTTACTCGTAGCAATACTGCCCTTTTATGCTCCAAGATATGCAACTTGTTTGACTTTCCCACCAGCCATGTGCGTAGCGACTTTTCTCCTAGGGTCCTATCCAGAAGAACACCCAGTTGGGGAAGTGGATATGAGATTTTAGACTATTCTTGCTCATCAATATGAGAAGGGTACTTAAGTGGGAACACTTGGCCTCTTAAAATGTATCTGAGGAGAGTTCCAAAAATGTGTGTCAAAATCCGGAAGAAACCCAAGGGTTCTCTCTCTCTCTCTTCCTTTTCTCCAAAAGAGAGGCCCACCTCCAACACCGCAGCCTGGACGCAGGACTAAGATGGCTGAGCTCCTGGGATAGTCCGGCGCGATCCGATGTGAGTGGCACACGGTATGAGTGGCACCCTGCCCCTGCACTGCGGTCGTGGGACAAAATACGAGACGGACGGGCCGAAACGGATTGGGTGGGAGACGATTACTTCCATCAAGCAAAGGATGCGCAGGGCGTCTTGGGTCTAGTGCATTTTGGCAGCTTTGCCCATGTTCCACCTACACCAGAGCTTTGCATAGAAAGCTCTCCCAATGAGGAAGGATATTCATTCCTTGTCACTAATGCGGGCCTCGATTTGGTGGGAGATTTTCGGATCAATCACCTTGATTCGCTACTAGGGGCTCCTGGCCTTACTACCAGGAGCAAGAAGCTACTAGGGGCTCCTGGCATCGCTACGAACGGAGCGATCGGACGCTTCTCTGACCCAGAGATCTCGTCGAGAGGACCGGGTGTGGCTCTCGTCGCAGGAGAGTGAGGTGGCTCTGACAGGGAAAATCCTTCCAGGCGGGTTCCGAGGTGGCTCGGAACGGGGTTTTTCGATGAGAAGAGGACACATGAGGGTCACCAGTCGTATGACCCTTCTCAACCATTTGCGTGGCACATGTTTTGCATAAATCATATCAATATACAGCCGGGTACGATGTAAACTCTTAGTGATCAAAGTTTGAGATGAGGTGTCAGATCTTGATCTGAAGTTTTTGGGTTGGTCTCCGCATCCGAAACAAAATTCACGACGCGGATGATATGTTTGGCTCAAGGCACTTTTGCTTGCAAACCAACCAGTTACACCTCACTGCCTTTCGTTTTTTGGGAATACTTCCATGCCCTCGCCTCCCCTCCCTCTCCATATCTTTTCCATAAAAAAGGAATAGGAACCAAATCATCAGTGCGAGCACGAGCTATGCTGCGTCCAGACTAGTAGCTGAAGTAGCCAACTAGCTACCTCTCCAACCCTCTTCTAGCGGCCTCCCCCCCGGGCTTTTGGAAAAATATGGAGTCTAATAGCAATGGGCTCCAACCCTACTAGCGCCCTTGCTCCTAGTAGCGATGCCAGGAGCCCCTAGTAACATCGATGGCCTCATCTCCTTTCCTCTCCCGACGGCTCTGCGAGGAAACGGCGACGTCCGGAAGCGTCGTGCCAGCGAGGTGGAGCCGAAGGACGGTGGAAGCGATGAAAGATGCAAAGGAAGCTACTAGGAACAAGTGCATCGCTAGTAGTAACAAGTGCCTTAC